TTGTCTTTATAGCTAAAAGATATTCTAATGTGAATATATTATTTCAAAGAAGAATCTGCAAAGTTATTGGTCCTGACCTAGCATCTCAGCTTTAGTTCTTTCCCTACTGCCATAAAGTAGATTCCCTGTGGCTTCTCTATAAATACTTTCATGGTAATTGTTCTGATGAACTTTTCTCTATGGTACCTACACTTTATAAATTTAAGCACAGTACTAGATTGGTGACAAAGTCTCATCATTTTACAGTTGGTTTGATGTAACTAAGTTCTATGCTTTATTTTCTTGCACTCTTTGCTTGTGGAACTCTCTTCTGACTTCTTGCATTCCAGTCAACTCTGATCTTCAAAAATTTGAATGCAATGTTGTTATCTTCTGTCGTCTTAATTCATGTTCTTTTATTGTTCCCTGTCCTTAATAGTGTTTTTTTTTCTTCTCATATAGTGTAACACTCAGTAATCCCTTACGTCTTAGTGACTTTATTACCTTATATGGGGTGAACTAAGAAAAAAAAAAAAAATACACTAATTTCTGGATATTACAATTGTAAAAAATAAAATTGTAGTTATAACTGAATATATTTTTGTATCCACCTATCAAGGGAGTTAACTCCTAACATTCTTCAGCGTAATCTCCCTTCTTACATTTTTCTCCGAATTTATTTCATATCACAATGTGATTATATATTTATTGATCATATCAAATTAATAACAAATTTCTTAAATTGTTAGTTGAGGTTTTCAAGAATTTATGAACGGAACTCATTAAACTAGGAAAAAAGGCCCTTACTTGAAAAGGGTGCATTATTTTTCAGCTTTTAATAACAAACATATCAATGTAATTTAATAATAAACAAAAATGCTTGCTTATAATTATTTGTTAATTTTAGTTGTTAAATCATTAAACACATTTTTTGTTCTTTTTTTTTTACCCTTCTAAATTTTTGGCTTCAAATTAGAAAAATTAAAATGACCATTCAGCTGTTGAAAAGTTTTTTATCCTAACCCAAAATCTTTCTAAGTATCAGAATTCATTATCAAATCCTTTCCTTGTCAGGATGAGAACTTTTCAATATCCCCTCATGTATATATTCAGACTTGAAAATATGTAATGCAAGATGTTTGCCAAATTTAGCTTTGTTTTGAGCACCCAGTGAGGATTGAAGTCACTATATAGTTTAACATAGAGTAAAAGCAACACTATGTATACAGTGTAGAAGCTGGTCTTGCAGAAAATTATTTAGCAAGTTCAATCCTCACAAAGTGGCTCATACTCATGGCCTTATGTTAAGTGTAATAAAACATCAATGTGTGTAAATTATGTATACAAGTGTAAATCAATAAGACTGTAGCCTAATGATTAAAAAAATGCAGTTATTCTACAGAAACCAACAACTTCAGATCAATATTCAGCTAATAAATATTGGGTAATGGACTTATCGATCTACTCTTGGAGATCAAGAAATTCAGTAACTTTGTGTAAGTTACATTTATTGTAAGGTAAAATAAATAGAAGGCTACTTTAATGCCTGCCATATTATATACAGGGTAACCATAAAGTCTGTAGGCAACTTAAAATATTTGTAGTCATACATGATATAAACAATCTGTAAAAATAATAAGACACCTTTCTGCCATCAGTTTAATGAACAAATTGATATTGAATGTTCATTTTTGAATAATTTAATGCAAGTTAGGTATTTTCTAAATGAAAAATTCATTAACAGGTGAATTGGAAGAGATGGACTATTATCTTTGACCTTTATAATCACCAGATTTGACTCCATTGGATTTCTTTTTATGGGGACATGGGAAAAGTAAAGTTTATCAAACTAAACCTCAATCTGTAGAGGAATTGTAAGCCAGGCTAATTGATATGGTTGAAGGTATAACTGAAAATCAGCTACAAAATATTTTCCAAGAACTACAGAACTGTATTACCCTTTGCATGCGTAATGATGACGGACATGTTAAAAATTAACAATCCCAATAATAAATTTAAATACTTGTTTCTTATGCTTTTTACAGATTGCTTCTATCATGTATAGTAAAAAAAAAGCTACCTGTATTTTAAATTGCACACGGATTTATGGACACCCTGGAGGAAAGCAAAAGTGTTTCTTCCACTCTAAAATGTGTAGTTTACATGTTTTCAACTTATCTTAGAAGAAAGTATTTAAAAAAAAAAAAAAAGTTTTGTTTTTATCATTGTCAACTTATTTATTTTGATCAAATATTACTTTCCTGTTTTTTTTTTTTTTTGTTTTTTCTTAGTTTAGTTTTTAGTTCAAGCCCTCAATCGACAGTGAGTAGAGAGCACAGAATTTAAAATAAAGGACATGGTCTTGCATCACATCAACTTTACTTCTGGGAGCACCTAGTGAGCATCCTGTTTGCATTGTGGAAGATCAAATCTAATCTATAATTAATCACAATTTCACGACATCTCTTGGCTATATTTTTCTTTTGACATTAGCATTATCAACCTCGGCAGTATATTTTATTTGATGAAACATTGTAAACCATTATTATTCATTTTGACTAGTATTTACTTTCATCTTCATTTTTACTTGATTTTTATAGCTATTTTATTATAGGAGGCACGGTGGAGTAATGGATAGTGGCTTGGATTGAGGAATCGGAGAACCGAGTTCGAATTCCAGTCGAATCCATTACATCCACTTACATGCTAATACCCTTGGGGAAGGTGTGAATCCTCTTTTTTCTCCCTCCAGCTATTGGTAAATAGCAGGACAGACTGGGTTCTATAGCCTTGGATGGCAACTGGTCTAGGAGAAGGAAAACTCTGAATTCAAACCTGCTCTTAGAGGAGGGTGAATGGAGTCTCTCTGAGCCTTGGTTGGCAATCCATTTAGTGATGGTGTCACGATAAAAAACACCCTTGATAGCCCTAGCAAAACATGAAGAATTCAGCTACTTGACAAGATTATGAACTACACCAAAGTATTAGTGAGTTCAATCTCGGCTGAGGCCGCAAGATGATGATGATGATAGCTATTTTATTCAGGTGATCAATCTACGGCACACTCAACTCATTGCTGTAGATTGACCCCTTAAATTAGGATAAAAAGCAACGAAAAAGATGCAAGTAAGCAACAAGCATCCTTTATGTTTTAAGAAGCAGAACATAGATGATAAAATAGATGTAAATTGAATAAAATGCTGGATATCTGAAGACAGTCGGAGAAAAGACTGGCTAGAAACGTCTTCAGAAGCTAATTCCAGTTGATGCCTTTTTCCCTTTTTCTTAGTCTGGTTTGTTGAGCCATACTGCCAGATAGCCTGTTGTTGGACAGTGCAGTCTTCACCTTTGTCAACTTGGCTTATTCTAGATTATTCCCGAACATGAATTTATCTCCCAAAGTAGCTGAGTCCCAAAGAAGGTAAAAGCATAAATTTATATCTATCTATATATCTTTTTTAAATGTTTTAATTGATTTCATCCCAAGTATGGCAGTAAAAGCCACTGAGATGCAAGGGGTTACTGAGAGTGGAAGAGTTAGAAACATTGCTAAGGAGCAAGTACAAAAGAGTAATCAGGAGGACAGTAGCTAGCAAGTGACATTGCATTTAAATTTTTGAAGAACAAATTTGGCTGGAAAGCATGGCGTCGGAAGGGAGTTCCACAAGCGAAAAGTGCAAGAAAAGAAACTGTTAGTATAGAATTTATGGTTACATCTAACCAGTTCACTAGTGCATTATTTGTATACGCTCTCAAAACACACCAATGTCACCTGTTAGCAATCTATGAACCATGAATAATAATATTTAAACACAGAAACACTATGCTATTCAATAATGATGAGGCTTAATGTTCAAGATGAGTTCCATACTTTAGCCCTTCCAGTTTAGACCTTTATGGCATTTCCAGCATTGAATCAGCCTCATATCCTCTATATTCCAAATCTAAGGAGACAGTGCCATGCAGCTTCCCCACCCCCCAAGAACTGCTACTTTGTGGATGATTCCCTTAGCAATTAAGCCCTGAAGATGATCTTGGATGAGATTGAAAGTACTTGGGGAAAATAAAAGAAATGAAAATAACTACAGCTTCTTCCTTAATCAGTTTAATAATGGCACTAAGAAAGTGATCTGTGAATTTGAGAGGTTTAAGATAAAAATAGACATATGTCCAGATTATTCAACAAAAAATCCTTGAATGAAGATATGCTGCCTAAATACATTTATATATATATATATATATATATATATATATATATATATATATATATAGAGAGAGAGAGAGAGAGAGAGAGCTTTCCTGACAATCCACTTAGGTGAAACCTGGGTAGGTTTGTCTGGCTCACTAGGTTTATCTATCTATCTCTCTCTCTCTATATATAAGGCTAGCTCAATGACTGGCCAATAATAATAATCTTCTTACTATTCCCATACATATATACCTTAGCAGTGCCACCTGTGTAGAACTACCTTTTATAAACTGCCATTTTGCCAAGGGAACTTAACTCAACACCTTCCACCACCTCTAACTCACTTCATTCAGTCATTCATTCATCTACCTTGAATGGCTATCAGGGCTTATATTGGGTGAATTTTAGTATTAAAGAGGAAAAAAAAAACTTTTCAAGAAGAATATATTGGAATATATTTAGCTGCAGATAATTGGATTTTTTTTTTTGAAGAACCAGATCATTGCAGAAAAAATTGAAAAGGCAGGAATTATTTTTTATAAATATTATCACTTAAAAAGACTTTGGAAATTAGCAAAGAAACTTCTCCCCCAGCCGAAGCAGAAGCAATACCTAAAATCATTGAGATATTTTTTAAGTATTTGCCATGACAATCTGGAATTGTAGAGAGGCATCATGGAAATGCCTATCAGTAAAGAAATTGCTATAAATCCCAAATGGAAGTTTTATCATTCCTCACATATTCCAAAGACTTTTATTCAGTTGATTAAATTTTAAATTAGACATAGATGAAAGCCAAACACACTCTATTGAACTGGTCAGGAATAAGAATTTAAATAGAGAAAAAAGAGAGAGAGAAAAAAGAGAGAGAGAGAAAAAAGAGAGAGAGAAAAAAGAGAGAGAGAGAAAAAAGAGAGAGAGAAAAAAGAGAGAAAAAAGAGAGAGAGAAAAAGAGAGAGAGAGAAAAGAGAGAGAAAAAAGAGAGAGAGAAAAAAGAGAAAGAGAAAAAAGAGAGAGAGAAAAAGAGAGAGAGAGAAAAAAGAGAGAGAGAGAAAAAAGAGAGAGAAAAAAACAAGAGAGAAAAAAAAGAAAAGAAAGAAAATAAAAAGAGAGAAAAAAAGAGAAAAAAGAAAAAAAGAGGAAAAAAAGAGAAGAAAAAACTATAATTAAAGGGATGGGTGGAAATTTGTATATTACCTATGAGAACACCTTTCATTTACATTTCTGGGAAATTTAATTATATTGTTGACATGGAAACAAAAAACAAATGCTTAATAAAAAGAAAATTACCAATATCAATATCCAGTAAGAGGCTTACGCAGGAGTGTCTCTTTTTTAAATTTTGGATTTGATGTAATTATGGCTACAAAGAATTTCGCTTTCATTGCTTGCCTTGATAATGTCGGAAGACGAAACACGTCGGCAAGAACTAAGAATTAAGACAATAAAAAAAACTGTATTATAAGCTGACGCGTTTTGTCCAATGTGAACTTTTTCAAGGCAAACATGAAATGAATTTATTTATATTTGTTTGTTGTTAATAGTTATTTTGTTTTCAATAAATTCATTTTGCCTTGAAAAAGTCCATATTGGGCGAAATGTGTCAGCTAATAATACAGTTTGCCTATTGTATTTTACCTACACACACACACACACAAGTAAAATGCAACTTTTATTTGAGTAAATGACAAGAATGTCTTAAAACTACATTTAGTGTTTATTTGTGCAATCAAGTGAAATAGAACTTGACTGATTTTGAGGGGACCACATAAGCTAATTAAAAACACAAGCTACATATATAAAACTAAAAGAAATCACAGAGGAATGTTCCTATTAAACTAGCTATCTCAAAAAGACATCATGGACACCACTGCTGTGTGTCCATGTATATCGACATACATTTATCATATTAATATAAAATATTCAATAAGATCTAGAATGAAAAGTTTATCTACTAGAGAGACTGCAAGGTTGATAAACACACATGTATCAACATCTACAGCTAATTAGTAATCAAATCTATTAGTTGATATTTATTACTTAAAATTCTCTATTAGTCAATATTAAGGAAGGTGGGGTAGTGGAAGAGATGTAAATCAGTTGATGAGTCTGTGTAACTACTTACCTGTTACCTAAGATGACATTTCAGTCATTTTTCAAAGTAACCTGTGAAAAATGCTGTTCTATATGTTTATTAATAATCCAATGATTATAAAATGTTTTTTGCATTATTTAAAAGAAAGAGGATAATCCTTTCATTTAGAGAAGAAATTTAAAAGATAGAGGAAAATCATTTCATTTAAGGAGAGAGAGGAAAGACATGATCCTTTCATTTAAAAGAGAGAGGATAATCCTTTCATTCAAAGAGGAAAGTCATTTCATTTAAAGAGACAGGAAAATATTTAAAGAGAGAAAAATTGTTTCATTTAAAGGGAGAAGAATATCATTTCATTCAAAAAGGGAAGAAAGTCATTTAAATTAAAAAAAGAGAGAAAAGTGATTGCATTTAAAGCAGGAAGAAAATTGTTTCATTCAAAACAGAAAAAAAATCATTTCATTTAAAGAGAGAGGAAAGTCATTTCATTTAAAGAGAGAGGAAAGTCATTTCATTTAAAGAGAGAGGAAAGTCATTTCATTTAAAGAGAGAGGAAAGTCATTTCATTTAAAGAGAGAGGAAAGTCATTTCATTTAAAGAGAGAGGAAAGTCATTTCATTTAAAAGAGAGGAAAGTCATTTCATTTAAAAGAGAGGAAAGTCATTTCATTTAAAGAGAGAGGAAAGTCATTTCATTTAAAGAGAGAGGAAAGTCATTTCATTTAAAGAGAGAGGAAAGTCATTTCATTTAAAGAGAGAGGAAACATTTCATTTAAAGAGAGAGGAAACATTTCATTTAAAGAGACAGGAAAGACAATTCATTTAAAGAGACAGGAAAGACAATTCATTTAAAGAGACAGGAAAGACAATTCATTTAAAGAGACAGGAAAGTCATTTCATTTAAAGAGACAGGAAAGTCATTTCATTTAAAGAGCAAGAAAAGTCATTTCATTTAAAGAGCAAGAAAAGTCATTTCATTTAAAGAGATGGCAAAGTCATTTCATTTAAAGAGATGGCAAAGTCATTTCATTTAAAGAGATGGCAAAGTCATTTCATTTAAAGAGATGGCAAAGTCATTTCATTTAAAGAGATGGCAAAGTCATTTCATTTAAAGAATGAGGAAAGTCATTTTATTTAAAGAATGAGGAAAGTCATTTCATTTAAAGAGAAAGGGAAATATTTAAAGAGACAGAAAAATCATTAATTAAAATAGACCAAGATGAGGCTAAGAAAATGAAAAGAAAAATAACTCAAAGATTGTTTGAAATTGAAGAAAAAAAAATCTTTAATTCGGAATTGTCATAAAGACTACTATCTTTTTTATTCTTTTCAATTAACATTCAAACTTTAAACTAGACTTAATATTTTTTCTTTTTTTTTTTTAGATAAGATGCAAATAAGGTAAATCACTATTATTTGAGAAATTATTTTTAATCAAGACTATAAATTAATTATTCCGTCTATAATTAAGGGAATATATAAAGACAAGAAATATATGACTATTACATTCTAATAATCAGAAAATTCAAAATGGCAACCAAATTTTAAATCTGTTTCTAACTTGTTTAGTATTTAAAAGTAAACGATTCTCTTCTTCTGATATAAATAATTGTAAATAATTTCCTAAATTGTGTATATCAAAAAATGATATGAATTGAAGAACTCTTTCTCTAGCCATTTTCTCAGAATAAGGAAGGTATAAAAGTAGCAAAAATCAAGGTTTATTTTACCCATCCAAGACTGATTGACCCTCTTAAAGAGGTTGTAAATGCAATGGAGTTGAGATTAAGGCTTTGAATAATAACCCAAATATTTGGGCTTCAATTCTATGGCTTCTTTTTATTTTATTTTTTTTTTTTTAGGACCCTTAATTTGATATCATTGAACAAACAGGCCAGAAAATATTAAATATTACTTTTAAAAACATTCTGAAAAAAAAAACAAAAAAAAAAAAAACTCACAGCATCAGATATGTTACTGCAGATTTTACAAGCAAAGCACTGAAAGCCATGGGCGTGGAGTGTGAAAGACTTACCCAAAGCTTACATGCCCACTCATAGGCTCAAACTCACACCAGCCATGCTTATGTAAGCATGACCACTCAAATCCATTGCACATGGAAGAGATTCAGAGACATATTAGTCCTTAAAATTTCTTATTGAACGGACGGTATGCCTGGGAAGCACTATTATTTCTCTGACATATGCCTTATAAACCATGAAAATAATTCCAGTTGCCTCACCCTGTACCCTGTCGTTTTAAAACAAGGCATTCTAACATCAATTACTTCTGAGTAGACTGGGTAAAAAAAAAAACAAAAACAAAAAAACAATCAACCCGTTATCAGAAGAGGAATATAATATTTACATATTTTCAAATACATACAGTTTACATATGAGGTACATGGATCGACCAACCAGGTGTTAGTATTATTATTTAAATTTGCAGGCTTTTTTTTCTTTTTTGCTTAAATCCACCCTTGAATTATACTTTGGCATTCCAACCAGATTGAATGAACCAAATTAAAAAATTCTTTATTTGGCTCACTCTTGTTATGTAAACATTGAAATGAACATTTTATAACAACAGAGAAAGACCCTCATCCTGAATGCTCACCTTCAAATAAATAAATAAAAAAAAAAAATAAATAAAATAAATATGGCAGGAGTAGAATCAGTCATTCCCACTCCCACTAACTACAACATCCATAAAACTTTAAGGAAGTTTTCTATGAAAGAAAGAAAAAAAAAAAAAAAGAAAAAGAAAGTTATATAGAAAATTAGCAACAAACAAAATTATTCCACTCCCTTTATAAAAAAATTAAAAAAAAGAAAGAAAAATATGAAAAAAAATCAACGAAAAAATAAACAAAACAAAAAAGTGATAACACAAAACATTTTGAAAATAAAAAAATTCTAGGAAAATCTTTAATAATAATAATAATAATAATAATAATAATAATAATGTTAGCAATAATAGAAGAGAGGGAGTAAATCACTCTTTCTTGTTTTCCAATTTTTTGGAGGGCAGAGAGGAAATGATCAATAAAAAATAGCACCAATTGATGGTAGGAAACAGGTGAAACAACTGGACATCATAGCTGGTCAAAAGGTGGCCGAAAACAACCATTCACAGGTTTTGAATGTGGCACTATTGACCAATTTGGGAGACCAACCTGGGAGCTTCGTTTAGATTTCTTGCCGATGAATGAAAAGACCAGTAAAGAAAATGTCACCAGGGACTATTCAGTTTTTGCTTTGATATAAATCTGGAAAAAAAAAAAAAAAAGAAGATAAAATCAACAAAGAGAAAGAACAAGTGTGATTAAAATTACCCAAATAAAACAGAAAGAGATTTTTGGGGTGACATATCACAAAATATTAGGCGCTCCAGAACAGGCATCATTTTCACTGTTTTCACCACAATCTCAAAAATGTTTAGCATCACTTTCTGTCTCAATAAATAAAAGCAAGAACGCTCAGGTGAAAAAAAAAAAAATCTTCTCAAAAAGGAAAGGATTAACCTTAAACACTATGTGACTACATTTGCTGTACAAAACGGTTATCCTGCCACTGAAGGTGACTGATCCAATAGTGTTTGAATTTCATAGTTGTGTTGTCATATCCTGCTATGGCAACAGAAAACACCTTAGAGTGAAATTAACAATGAGGTTACTGCAACTGAGAGGACTTGAAAAAGAATGCAGTAGAAAATGAAGTAACAATTATAATGCAGGGGACTAAAGCTTAAGAAAGTACTTATTCTTAGATAAAGTGTTTTCATGATTGACTGATTGTGTTTATCAACCTTTTGCAGGTTATTTAAAGCCAGAAATATATTTTTAGATTGTAATAATTATTTTGGAGATAATGATGATTTACTGATACAAGTCCTACTAATTAACCCATAGTTGGGGGGAGAAGAGGTGGAGACACACATTTTCCAAGGGTATTTGTGTGTAAGTGAATATAAAGAATTCAACTGGAATTGGAACTCAGCTCTCCGATGTCCAATTCCAAGCCATTATCCATTATACACCACACACATCCAAGCTTGCACCTGGTATTCCCAAGAGGTCACCCATACAGGTACTGACCAAGTTTGATGTTGCTTAACTTCTGTAATCTTGCAAGAACCAATGTTGGAACATGATATGGTCATAAAGAGTTCCATAAGGTAAAAGTATTAATAGTAGTATTTTTATTATTTTACTCCATCTTTTTATTATGCATATGTTTTTTTTTTAATCCCAACACACCCTTCATTATTAGTATTATTTTATTATTAGTATTATTCCATCTTATTATTGTTGCTTTTTTATCCCAAACCCTGGCTCAATACAGTCTTCATTATTACTATTATTTTATTACTAGTTTTATTCCATCTTATTGTTGCTTTTTATCTCAACACTCTGGCTCTATACACTCTTCATTATTACTATTATTTTATTACTAGTCTTATTCCATCTTATTATTGTTGCTTTATATTGTGATCTCACAATTCTCTACAGTCAACCTCAAACCATTCTCATCTCTGCTGACATGAAGTGGAAAGATTATATTGAATCAATTGCTAGGAAAGTTGGTTTATTGTGTCATATTAAATAATTTTTGTTGACAGAATTTATCTTACATATTCATATATAAGTCTACCATTCGCCCATACTTTAAATATTGCTGCCACATATGGTCAGCTGTTCCTGCTATATATTTAGAGATCCTTGATAAAATCCAAAGAAGAATCTGCAATATCATTGATCCTGACCTGGCATCTGAGCTTCAGTTACTTTCCCATTGCCGTAACATAGCTTCCCTGTTCCTTTTCTATAGACACTTTCATAGTAATTGTTCTGATGAATTTTCCACTATGGTACCTAGATTTTATGAATTTAAGTGCATTATGAGATTGGTGGCAAGGTCCCATCTTTTTACAGTTTAAATGGCAGCTAGATGTTACCCTAAGTTCTATGCTAAGAGTTCCTTCTTTCACACTTATCAGATGAGTTTCGTTTTCTGAGGGACTTTATCAAGGTAAATGCAAGGATTTTATTTTGTAACAAGTATTTATATACAAGAGCAAAAAACAATGTTTTTTTTTTTTTAAAATTTTTAGTTATAGGAGTGCTCATGAATATTCATTTTGTCAACAGAAAAATCAGGCAAGTTTATTGACAAGAGATGATACAATTCAATGTCTAAGAAACAAAAGAGTAGGTGATGTTTTATATATATATATATATATATATATATATATATATATATATATATTCAAACATATATTGTTAAATACAACAGTCAATGAATGTCTATTATGTTTGATCATGAGCCATTATAAGCTTTTGGTTCAATCTAAGCTTTCGGCTCACATAAGCCATCATAAACAATGACATCCTGTTATGTCTACATAGAAATTTTCTATGCGACAATATATATATTATTTAAATTCTTCTGGATTGGGATTGATTTACGAGTGGGGGTATATTTTGAATAATACGAGGTTATAAATTTAACTGTTTTCTTTTAATTCTTTAGTATTTTTGTGGTAGTCCCTCAGAGGATGAAACATGTCGGCTAAGTTTTCCTTTTGTTTTTATTCATATTGTCCTTTTACAGATCTATTCTATCTGAAATTTTTACACAATAATGTTAAAGTAAAAAAATAAGTACTGCAATTATCTCTATCTATAAAAGGCAGGATGTGTGTGTGTGTGTGTGTGTGTGTGTGTGTGTAACGAATACATGGCTGCAATTTTCAACAGATTTGCACCAAAATTTACATGCACATGATCCAAGTTAGCGGGAAGACTTTGCATTTCCCAACTAACATCGATAGTGGAAATAATCGATTTTTTTATGCTTCTATGGCAGTTTTCATGTAGTTTGCAGCCATTTTGTACTGGCCAGAGTGAGAGCCTATAGCTGGCTGCCACGAATAGGCAGGAAGATTCTATTGGCCAGCGTGAGAGTCAACAGCTGACTGATACGAATGTTAACTAGCATGCAAAAAAAAATCGATAGCTGCATTCGTGACAAGTGGGAAAAATTTAAATCTGCATGGCACTTTACTCCAATTGGCTCATTCGCTTGCTTAAACTCAACGTTGATTCTGATTCCGCAGGTGTGAAAGAGTATTTGTTGTTAACATTCTTTTTTCATTCGGTTTTTCCAGTTACGAGTCCTTTTTTAAAGCTGATCGTTTTGTGTTCATTTTGTTTAGTTCTTTTTTCGTAAAAGATTTAATGTTTAGTATAGAGCTTAGAAAAAATTTGCAGTGTGAGATAGGCAAGAAGTAAGGCATGTAGCAACATCAGCACGGCAAAGGGCACTCCTTTAAAGGCAAGGAAGGGCAAAAATATTTTAAGTCGAGTGATAGTGATTGCTGTACGAGTCATACGATTTTTGAATCAAGCACGGGCAACACCAGGTCATGCTGCTAGTTTTTTTTTTAATATAAACCATCATTAAGACTATGGACCACTTAAATGGAATTATGCATGTTATGTAGCAGGGGTGCTAAACTGGAATTGATATGCTGAATTCAAATTCCAGTCAAGTTTGTTGATTTTAATCTTGTTTAGCAGCATATCAACACCTCTATGGGTTATTTAATGCCAAAATCTAAATATTTTGAACACAATTGTTTACCTTCAACTACAGATAAAAAAAGTCTAACAATGCATTTTATACTCCCAAAGATTACACTTTCTTCAATCACTACAATCTTAACTTCTACAAGTCTTCAGTCAGCAATTATTTACTTTCAACAATGTCATTCAGTAATCCTCTAGCTTGAATGGCTCTTCGGCCTTGTATTGGGTGAATAATAGTTAAAAAAAAAAAAAAAAATCATCCCTACTATGAATTAAATAGCAGACTGAGTTCTCTGGCTTGGTTGTCAGCCAATCTAAGAGAAAGACAATGAATTCAAAACCAGTTAAGAGTGGGACTAGCAACTCCACCCCATAAAAACCTAAATGTTAGAGAAACCACATCAGTAACATCCTAGTGTTCTGAAGCTGTGACGCATCGGGGGAAGAGACACCAAGTACTGTGAAACAGTGGGAAAAATTGTTGTGAATAAATAAAGCATTGATATGAAAACTGCTACCATATTCCAGCCTGTTCATACCAAATATTTCTATACTGAAGTATCTGGAACCTAATGCAATCACAATATCACTATTTAATCACTCCTGGCATTGGTGTTCTGGATGACATATGCACACAAGATATTTAAAAGGAAATTGTGGTTCTAATTTTCTTTGATAAATGCAAGAAATATTGATATTTAATGATTATTAAATTAAAACAAAATAGAATAATTTTTTTTTATATATATATAAATTAATAAAATAGAGTGAAATTCTACAGGGTGTAGCAGAAATACCTCCCACATAATGGTAAGACATTAGTGGTAACAGTGTCTTCATCTAGCTAATATCTTACCATTATGTGGGAGTTATTTGTAGGATATATTTTTGCCACACCCTGTATTTTTTGCATCTCTGTAAACATAAACTCAGTCCAGTAAAGTCCTAAAGGATGAAACGCACCATACAAAAACTTTTTTCCACTTCTTTTCCCTAAAATTGCTCTTGCTTAAATATATATATATATATATATATATATATATATATATATATACATACGTTTATGGACATCATATAAGGTTCAACGTGCTACAGAAACATTCATTTTACAGATAAAAATTACAACCTACAAAGGGAAGTAATTACCGTAAGGAGTTGCTTCCCTTACCTAAATGGAATCCAAAATAATAAAACATTAATGATTAAGCGATCATATGTTCTTTGACCAGTATTTCTTTCATCTTAATTTCAGTTGCTTTTTAATAAAACTTTGCTCCAACTATCATTCTCTCGTGGGACTCGAACTCACATTTCTTTTTTCTTTCTTTCTGGAAGCCTGTCTAAATGTGACAGTGGCAGCCATTCAAATATAACTATTGATTATTCTCTATGACCATAATTTTTTTTTCATTTAAACACACTAGTAGTATAAGTAATTAATAAGAAAATTTTAAAATACTATGCTAAGCCCACTGAGGATGTTATTAGGGCTTAGCATATGCACTGATTCTTTCAATTTACTTATCTCCCAATGTTATTCTCAGTGACAAAGGTGTGGACACTAATCCAAGTAAATCAGTGTACGGTCACATCTCAGAAATTCAGTTATAAAAACAGTAAGTCCCCCAGGTTATGATAGTCCTAACCTATGATACGTGGTTATGATACAATCTCCATTAAATCTGTTTTGGCTTATGCTGTTTACCTCATATTTATGTCCTCCATGTGATTTTCAGTCCTAATTATGTTAAGATATGTCACAGAAATGTTTGTTATGTCCTAGATTATTACTTTACTATTGCATTTGCATAGGTGAGTGACGAAAATGCTTATTTACAGAAAATCACAGATATGTTCCGGCTTACACAGAAAATTGTATTACGACACATTGTAGGATTGGAACTCTGTCGTAAATCAAGGATCCCCTGTATTTTTTTTGGATGATGCTGTGGAGACGATAGAAAATTTTTAATTCTATTCTATTATATTTATTTGCATATATCTCCAAAATAACATTTAGAGTATTTTTTATTTATTCATTTATTCCTCCGCCTATGAAAATGGATTATTCCATTATTTTGCCAGTTGGCTTTAAATAAAGAAGTATTAGGTTAGACAGTTCTAAGTTTTACCTGATGATTGCTATTTGCATGAATCTTCAAGTAGCATTGAGTGGTGAGGAATAAATATATAATTTTTTGTGTGTGTGTGTGTGTGTGTCTATATATATATATATATATATATATATATATATATATATGTAAGCAAATGTAAATGGATATAGATCCGACAGAATGAAGAAAAATTTGAAAAAACAAACAAAAATCCTTAAATGCAATTATGGTTGTTTAAAATGAATGAAATGTCGACGTCTGACGTTTCGGTTTAATAAACCTTCTTTCAGTTTAATAAACCTTCACGACAACGTGACCATGCTAAACGGAAAGCTGATCATTTTAAAAATTTTCAGTTATCTGTTTTGGATAAGACTTGTTTTTATGTCCATCGTCTTTGTCAAATTGAAATGAATTGTATTTTAATGAATATTGGCCAGAAGAAGGTTTATTAAACCGAAACGTCAGACGTCGACATTTCATTCATTTTAAACAACATAATTGCATTTAAGGATTTTTGTTTGTTTTTTCCAAATTTTTCTTCATATATATATATATATATATATATATATATATATAAAATAAAGAAGCGCACAGCAAGTGCTGGTGGTAATAAAACATTTCACTCAATCCACACCTGATGATTGCATCATGCATGTAAACTCAGTGTTGTGATATTGGTGAGAAACAAAATGTTTGCCTTAAATATTCTTTCCTTCAGGCTTCCACTGACTAACAGTATGTATTTCTGGCTTTATAGTATATTTGTTATCACTATATATATATATATATATATATATATATATATATAAAACACTTCTTTTTCAATTGGAGAACAAAACTGAAAAGAAGAATGAAAGTTGAAAAACTTAAATTTCAATAATTCTATTATTTATCTCTAAATATAAAACATTCAAATCTAATTGTAAGAAATAATTTTGATTATTAAAGCAGGAAAAAAATTTTTTCTGTCAATTTTTGGTTAAAAAAAACTTGAAGTTAACAAATTTATGCATTATATTTTCTGCTTCTCATAAACTAAATTGAAAATATAAGAGAGGGTTTTTAAAAAATGATAAAATCAGGTAATTTAGTCACAATATAAGGTAGGTAACTGTAAATGAAAACCTTTTTGATATTAAATAGTTGGAATGTGTTAATATTTTTTATATAGTAAATGAATGCAGAGAGCACAAGTCTTACATTAAAGTTTGATAAAAGTTACTTTGCACATGAAAGTTAATAAGAACATTTGTATATCAAATTATTCAAGGTGATTTAATCAGTATGTCTAAATAAAAAAATAAATTGTTGCTTTTTATCCCAACACTCTGGCTCTATACACTCTTCATTATTACTATTATTTTATTACTAGTTTTATTCCATCTTATTATTGTTGCTTTTTATCCCAACACTCTGGCTCTATACACTCTTCATTATTACTATTATTTTATTACTAGTTTTATTCCATCTTATTGTTGCTTTTTATCTCAACACTCTGGCTCTATACACTCTTCATTATTACTATTATTTTATTACTAGTTTTATTCCATCTTATTAATGTTGTTTTTTATCCCAACACTCTGGCTCTATACACTCTTCATTATTACTATTATTTTATTACTAGTTTTATTCCATCTTATTGTTGCTTTTTATCTCAACAGTCTGGCTCTATACACTCTTCATTATTACTATTATTTTATTACTAGTTTTATTCCATCTTATTATTGTTGCTTTTTATCCCAACACTCTGGCTCTATACACTCTTCATTATTACTATTATTTTATTACTAGTTTTATTCCATCTTATTATTGTTGCTTTTTATCTGAACAGTCTGGCTCTATACACTCTTCATTATTACTATTATTTTATTACTAGTTTTATTCCATCTTATTATTGTTGCTTTTTATCCCAACACTCTGGCTCTATACACTCTTCATTATTACTATTATTTTATTACTAGTTTTATTCCATCTTATTGTTGCTTTTTTCTCTCAACAGTCTTTTCTATACACTCTTCATTATTACTATTATTTTATTACTAGTTTTATTCCATCTTATTATTGTTGCTTTTTATCTGAACAGTCTGGCTCTATACACTCTTCATTATTACTATTATTTTATTACTAGTTTTATTCCATCTTATTATTGTTGTTTTTTATCCCAACACTCTGGCTCTATACACTCTTCATTATTACTATTATTTTATTACTAGTTTTATTCCATCTTATTGTTGCTTTTTATCTCAACAGTCTGGCTCTATACACTCTTCATTATTACTATTATTTTATTACTAGTTTTATTCCATCTTATTATTGTTGCTTTTTATCCCAACACTCTGGCTCTATACACTCTTCATTATTACTATTATTTTATTACTAGTTTTATTCCATCTTATTATTGTTGCTTTTTATCCCAACACTCTGGCTCTATACACTCTTCATTATTACTATTATTTTATTACTAGTTTTATTCCATCTTATTATTGTTGCTTTTTATCCCAACACTCTGGCTCTATACACTCTTCATTATTACTATTATTTTATTACTAGTTTTATTCCATCTTATTGTTGCTTTTGATCCCAACAGTCTGGCTCTATACACTCTTCATTATTACTATTATTTTATTACTAGTTTTATTCCATCTTATTGTTGCTTTTGATCCCAACAGTCTGGCTCTATACACTCTTCATTATTACTATTATTTTATTACTAGTTTTATTCCATCTTATTATTGTTACTTTTTTATCCCAACACTCTGGCTCTATACACTCTTCATTATTACTATTATTTTATTACTAGTTTTATTCCATCTTATTGTTGCTTTTTATCTCAACAGTCTGGCTCTATACACTCTTCATTATTACTATTATTTTATTACTAGTTTTATTCCATCTTATTATTAAATTTTTTTATCCCAACACTCTGGCTCTATACACTCTTCATTATTACTATTATTTTATTACTAGTTTTATTCCATCTTATTATTGTTGCTTTTTATTCCAACACTCTGGCTCTATACACTCTTCATTATTCCTATTATTTTATTACTAGTTTTATTCCATCTTATTATTGTTGCTTTTTATTCCAACACTCTGGCTCTATACACTCTTCATTATTACTATTATTTTATTACTAGTTTTATGCAATGTTCATAAACATTTTTTTTATTTCTTAAATATTTTAATGGTGCTTTTTAAATTTATTTCTTAAATATTTTAATGACATATTTTTATTTATTTCTTAAATATTTTAATGGTGTTTTTTAAATCTATTCTAATGGCATTTTTAAAAATATCTCTTAAATATCATAATGGTGTTTTTAATATACTACTGACAACTAAAAAGGATAAAGTTAAAAAAAACAACATTTTGATTTTGTGAAATTTTAAAAATTTGGGGGATATTCAAAGTTGTTTTTCAGCATGATTCTGGGACGATAGTAAAAAAAAAAAAGTTTGTCTGCTGCTCAAAGACCAAATCATGTTTATAACAAACAAAAAACCAGCTTCTTTTAGCAGATGATAACTGTTCCCATCGACATGGCTTGATAGTCTCATATATACAAGCATTGACATGCTTTTTGTAGTCAGACATACTTACTTCACTTAATATAGCCCAGCTATCACTTTTGGCTTGGCAGTGGAGTCGAAGAACCTTGATAGGTCCCATTACTTCTTTTATTTGACCTTCTGCAACACCCTCTGAATTAAATCTGCTGACCACATAGTAGCCAAGGCCAACAGTTTGGTAAGGCTCATTATTCTTCAGATTAACTAGATGCTTATGGGATGAAGGGAAGATCTCAACTGTTGTGTCAGTTAGTTTGTCCCCAGGATGTTCCAAGTTACCACTGCGGAATAAAAATCTAGAAAGAAAAAATATAAATATTAACATCATATAAATTCTTACAACAACTGACCAATATTGTGTGTGCATAATTTTTACATATGGACAAAAACAATGTGCATTGTTTTGACATACTTTGCTTAGATTTCTGGCTGTTGCATGGTATTAAAAGCTGTAGCAGACAATTCCACTTCATTTTTAAGCTTTTAGGGTCAGGATCTTCTCTTAACGCCTCAACATTCCTTCACCATCCAAACTGCTATCAACAAATAATAATGTCTTACTCTGTCACCCTCTTTCCTTCTCCCTTTTCTTTACCCTTCTCCATTTCCTCTTAAGGTGTCTCTCCTTATAGCCCCCCCCCCCCAATAAGTGGCTTGATTGTAAATAGAATTGTTCATAAACATTTTTGGTTCTCACCAGTTGAGATGCAGCCGCATCAAAACAAAAATGCAACTTTGTAGTGAGCAAGTTGTTTTTGTCCGTATGTAAAATCTATAATAAATAATTATTGCTCTACTTTTGGTATTGAGCCCTCTTTTGAATTAATGCTGTGAACGTTAGAATTTATATTATTTTCGTTCTCATTACATTTGAACATATATATATATTTTCTTATTTCTTCAACAACATGGTTTTGGAAATTAATGTCAATAAATGTTTGTTTTTATTGATGTGACTACGCATGCACATGAAGGAAAGGAGACACTGAGATTTTAAACTTAAAAAAATTTTTTTTGTTTTTTTAAATATGTGTTTTGATATGTAGTCTAGCCAATTTCAGTTAATTGCTTTTTGTTTTTATCACTTTTGCTATTTAGTATCCTACATTGCAATAATAGATCTTCCAAGAAAGGTGAAATACTGTGGATGATCTAGCAATTAAGGCACTTTCTATAGACTATTGTTTTAAATTGTTTTCCCATTTAATTACAACAGTATTTTTTTTAAATCAAAATTATAGTTAGACTCATTATGGTAAGCAACTAATGCATTGAGTTTACTGTTTTATGAAAGATCACTTTTGTGTTCATATAATCTCTTATTTAAATTTCTTGAGGTTTCACCTATGTATTCCTAGTGGCAATCATTAATAGTGTAAATCCGTCCTTCAAGTTTTAGCTTATGTTGTTTTGCATTAATTAAGTCTTTTATTGATACAGAAGTTGTAACAAATTTTATGTTAAGCTTATATAAATTCTTTTCAACTGTAGTCATATGGTTGGTGGGTAGATTAATGTATTATTTTTTTGTTGCATTTGTCAGAATGGTTCACTCTTCTTTTTCAACTTTTCCTAACATTGTTCTGCTATATAAAAATTTATATATCTTTTCCCCCCATATTTGTTTATATCAAGAAGATTACTTATTTTAGAATTTTTTTGATGCCACTCTTAAGGCGACCATCTTGATATAAACAAAAAACTAAATGTATTAGTATCTGTGAATGATATTCTAGTCTAGTCCATACATCTTTCTTCTTGCCTCTTTTTCTTACAACAAAACCTTGTAGGAAGGCAGTGTAAAGATTGCTGATAGAGAGGATAACAAGAAGATGATGAAGGAGAGTAAAGGAAAAAAGAGAGCCTAACAGGGGAGGCAAGTGAAGACAGAGGAAGGGAGACCACCAAAAGATAGGGAAGAGAGAGAGAGAGAGAACGAGCATAGAAAGTGGCATGAACAAGAAACTAATAGTTAGCAAGAAGAAAAGGCATATGAGCCTTACTTACTTTTCCAGTACAACTGGCGGTGTGAATTCAAATTTAATGATGTCATTTGGCCGAGGGCTGATCCCCCAAAAGAATGTCTCGCCCAGGTAGGCTTTCAGCAGAGTATACTGTTGGTAAGTCTTCAGCGTTGTGCTAACATGAGCTTTGGGATTGACGTGAGCACGGTACAATCCTTGCTTACCAAAATATTTATCCTGGAAGCAGAAAAAGAAGAATCAAATGAAAAATGTACAACTGTCTTTGAGGTAGGAGAAAAAGAAACGAAATCAATTATTGGCACTTTTATTGCAGTGTACAAGTGACATGTCAAAAGTAAAAGATCAAATTAAAAAGTGAGCAAATTTCTGACACAAAATGTAACATGTGTGAAGAAAAAGCGCCAAGAAAATAATTGCATTTACAGGTGAAGGTTTGATGAAAAGTTCTCAACCCAACCAAGAAAGGATTACACAGATACACACATCTGATAAAAATAGTGTTTTGTGGAGATATATATATATATATATATATATATATATATATATATATATATATATATTTACGATTCCAATGGAACACTCTCTCTAAATTCTGTTTTTATTTCCAGAGTTGTTTTTTTCTGTTTTCTTTTTGAATTTGTAGGTCTGATGAATTGGATCGTATTTACAATTTCAATGGAAGAAACTATGACCATGGAATATTAGTGTTTAAGCCTTTTTTATATATATATATATATATATATATATATATATATATATATATATATATATATATATATATAAAACCCTATTTTACCAAATCCTGTTAATAAACTTAATAGTGTTGAACCTATATATATATATATATATATATATATATATATGTGTGTGTGTGTGTGTGTGTCACTTCTGGATGTTTACATATGCACTATCCTTGATAAATATAGCATACCTTAAAACTATGTAAGGGAGTTCTTATTTTTATTTAGTAATGTTCAGTTATTGCTCACTAGTTACCACTGAGTGCAAGTGCACACTGCCCAACCCAGAGATTGAACTCACGGCCACTAGATGATATCCCTAGACATGAGCAGAGGAACGTGATCTGTCTACCCCGTCTGGTACTTGTTTCTATTTAGTAGTGTTCAATTATTGTTCGCACGTTTCCACTGAGTGAAAGTGCACAAGATTGAACTCACAGCCACTAGATGATATCCCTAGACATGATCAGAGGAACGTGATCTGTCTACCCTGTCTGGTTCTTGTTTCTATTTAGTAGTGTTCAATTATTGTTCGCACGTTTCCACTGAGTGAAAGTGCACACTGCCTGACCCAGGGATTGAACTCAAGTTAAATACTCAATGTTACTAAAAGAATAAATATGACAATGAAAAAGAAAAGAAATATTATGACAACTTGAGACAGGAAGAGGTTAAAATTCAGTAAAATACCAAACTCTTACCTTCAGTTTTTGGACCTTTCCCTTTAGTGATGACTGCATGCCGATATGTTGAAAAAGAGAAGGCTTGTATCGTCTCCGTACTTCATCTTTCATTCGAAAACAATGTTTCTGAAATTTTCAAGAAGAAGAAGAAGAAAGCGTTTTAATTTCCAAAACCCACTGATCACTTAGCCCCTTTGTTTTGGGTTCTACTGTATTTATTTTTATGTCTGAAGAGCTCTAATAAGTCAAATACAATAGCAAGAACATTGGTGGAGATCAAGGAAGGTCATTTTCACTTAGCTCAACAAAAAAATCACTTTTCTATTATGGGGCTTTCAAAAAATCCCCAGGTTATGTAAATCAAACTGTAAACATGATAAAAAATATACCCTGAACCATAAAAGTCAAGTTCTGTCAAACTGAATATGCTACTTGACCGGAAACAGAGTGAAGAGTCACTATTTTGTTTGCGAAAGACAGAATGACTTATAGGAATTAAATCCTATATATATTTTTCAACCAATAAAATCTCAACAAGGGCAAATGAAAAGAGAAGCTTACTACTTCTCAGGGCACACAACAATTCTGGAAGCCAGTTTGATCTGCATCTTTGGAATGAAAATTTGCTCGTGCCTCACCAAATTTTATGTGGTAAAAATTACATTTAAAAATAAAAAACAGAGAGAAGATTAAAAGGGAGATAACCACAGATTCAAAGTCAGAACATTATCATTGATAATTGTCTCCTCCAATTTGCAGACCCTAATTACTATATTTTTAATACTTGATATAATGTAAAAATATCACAATGATAAAAATCACTCAATAATTATTTATAACTACTGGGACTCATGCATACAATTACAAGTAATCCATAATAATCATATTTATTTTTGGCATATGAATTTTTTAAAACTGTTTCTAAATCATTGATTGTCTTTCAATTATTCTGCCTCACCTGCTATCCTCTTCTGCTGCACATATGAGGCATGCTGCACCATTTGGGAGCCACTGCAATGGGCCAAAAATTTGGGGGCCCACATTCTGGATTTCAAAAAATCCCCTAAAAAATTGAAACTTGCGTATTTTTTTAAAAACTAATTTACTAGCTCACTTTAGGCCAATGGAACTTTCTCTTTCTGAAAGGTTTTATCACGTAACCAATATTAATAACAAAATTAAGCCATTATTGCATAAATTTTCTGTAACACTAGAGAAAATAGCTTCCCACTGGGATGAAAACTGATTTGGACTCGTCTTGCATGTAAAATAACCCAAAAAGAAAATGGCAGCTTTACAAGTCATAGCTTTAAAACAGATAGATCTTGGAGTTGGACAGATTCTCACGAGAATCTCTTTTGAGATATGTAAATTTTAACTGTGAATCAATGTATGAAGAGACGAAAGAGACAGAAGTGCGACTGGTGTAGCAAACAGGAGACACGTTTCTTGATTGTTTGACTTAAGTTTGTAACGCTATTCTGTTTGTTGAAGGAAACAAATTATGGAAATTTATTACAAGCCAGAAGAAACTGCCAACAGTTTCCTAAAAATTTTAACTTTTTGCCTAATCAACCTTGCTGGCAGATTTTAAATTTTAGGTAACCCCCTCCTCCCCTTCTGAAGTATTGGGCACAAAGCACTAATGGGTTAAATAGTTTCAATATCCTTGCTTAGTAGGTATTAATTAACTAAAAGAACTTACTAGTTATTAAAAGCAGATGCTCTCCCCAAACTTTTGGCCTAGTGTGTGTTTGTGTGTGTGTGTGGGGGGGGTTATGGTGAATATGTAAATGAAAAAAATTGGGGTAAAATAATGTTGAGGACATAAGCCAAAGAAAACTGAATAATGAGCCCTTGTAAAAGACCACCCATAAAATTGAAAGTTAAAAGTGGGGGGGGTCACTTTACCAACTTTACTTACATTATCTTTTTCAGGATTGCAGACTTTGACTGACAGGTAGTGATCTAACAGCCAATCAATTGGTTTGTCTGTGTGAAACATCAGAAAAAATTCAACCAGAATTGGCAGTTCATTTGATTTGAATAATTTTCCTGAAAGAAAAAAAAAAGAAAAATTAAAAAAATAACGGTCAGTTCTTGGAGAAAATGAAATACATATGAAGTTATGAGCTCTTGTCAAAAAGAAGGAGAAACAAAAAGGGAAAAAAAAGATATGAAGAATAAAAATAAAACGGCAAAAAATAAAGTAAAAAATTCTTTCTTAAAGCAAAGCTAAGAAAGAATAAAACTCAGAAAGGAAAAAGTAAAAATCAAGAAGATATGGATGAAATTAAACAAAGATGGGACAACATTGAGCCAGAGTGAAGAGAGGCAAGAGGAATATAAGAAGATGGAATGGCAAGCTCTAGCTGGGATGAGAGAGAGAGAGAGAGAAAGAGAAGGTATGCCAAAATAAGAGAGGAGGTGGTTGCCAAAGGGAGAAGTCATGGCATGCAAGAGAAAGATAATATGGCAAGATAAAATGTGATGTGGAAAAGAGAGAGAGAGAGAGAGAGGCTGTGGGAAAACAAGGGTGGACATTAGAGAAAGAGAAGGTATGGCAAAATAAGAGAGGAGGTGGTTGCCAAAGGGAGAAGGCATGGCATGTGAGAGAAAGATAATATGACAAGATAAAATGTGATGTGTAAGAGAGAGAAAGAGGATGTGGGAAAAAACAGTAGATGTTAGAAAGAGACAGAGAGTTAGAGAGAGAGATAAGTCATGGTAAGAGAATAGGGGATTGTCAAAGGAAGAAGACATGCCATGACAAGAGAGAGATGGTAAGGTAAGACAAAAGGGAGGATGAAAGAGACAAAACATGAGGTGGGGTTTGCTAAAGAGAGAAGGCATGGCAAGGTGAGAAAAAGAGAGATAGTATGGCAAGATGAGATGTGAGAGAGAGAGAGAGAGAGAGAGAGAGAGGCTGTTGGAAAACAAGAGTGGATGTTAGAGGCAAGCCGAGAGGAGATTGCTAAAGGGAGAAGACATAGCATAGCAAGAGAGAGATGGCACAGTAAACCAAGAGGTGGGGTTTGTGAGAGAGAGAGAGAGAGAGTGAGGTAAGATACAAGGGGGTTGCTGGAGGAAGAAGGCATGGCAAGGAAAGAGAGAAATGGCATGGTAAGACAAGAGGGGATATGAGAAAGAAAGAAAGAAAGAAAGAAAGGGAGCTCAGGTGTGGTAAGACAAGAGGAGGTTACCAGAGGGAGAAGGCATAAAAGGTAGTTGATAGAGGGAGAAAACATGGCAATGTAAGGTGAGCAAGACACAGAGAGAGAGAGAGAGAGAGAAAGAAAGAAATGGCAAAACAAGATGGAGCTGCTCAAGGAAGTAAGTTTGTTTAAATGGATTAATGTTGAAACCAGCAAAACTCAGAAAATTGTCGGTTTTTTTGTGCAGCGAAAATAAGATACAAATAAAAATGATAATTGATATAAATATTAATTAACACATCAAACTTTTTTTTTAAATATTTAATTTATTACGCATGTATTTTGGATAGGAGAAATATTTAAATGATTGTTTTTTTTTTGGTTATTTTTACTCATTTTTTTAAATATTTCGAGAATAAAACCAAAATATTAAACAACATTATTAAGTGACTAAAGACTTCAATGTTGAATAGTCTCTCAGAGTCTTTGTTAGAGAAGAATTATTTTCCACCCTCCAACCTCTTTCTCACAGGTGGGATGTGGCAAGTCTCTCATTGCTCTAACGCTACTAATATGGAAAGTGCTTAGACAAACTACATTCCTTGGTTCCATCAGGTCTAACCTTCATGGCTACGACTCACCATGCCACTTACATTATAGCAGACAGCCCACATTCCCTCCATATTACATTGGTGGGAAGTAAGTTCCACTCAAACAGCTTCTTCTTGTGAACCACTGCTCTGTAGAACAGACTCCCAAAAGGATGTTTACCTTGATTACTGCAATCTTAACTCCTATTCAAGTCTAGAGTTACCTATTATCTTTCCCTTTCTTATACATATAAGCTACCCATTAAAGTAACCATCTACCTTGAGTGGCCCCCGGGCCTTCTACAGAGTGAGCCTTACTGTAATAAAAAAAAAAAAAGAAAAAAGAAAAAAGGTATTATCGTAAAAAAAAAAAAACCCAAAAAAACGCATTATTCAAATATAAAAGTTATCTCTCTTTAATTTTTTTTTTTTTTTGGTAAAATGAAGATGCAATTCTGGTGAGGTCAATTTCTGTGAGGCGCTGGGGTTGCAAACAAGATTCACTGTTTTGATTGCCTCCCCTCTTGAAACTGGTCACGTGTGCAACAAACTAACTGCATCCATGAGATCCACTGGTGGCACCTTAAATTCACAGGAACCAGTTCTATAAAGGCAAGTAATCTTTAGGAACCTATTCTGCTTTTTTTTTTTTTTTCAATCTGAGAATGGAATCAAATCTCTTTATAGTTTGTTTTGTTTTGATTTATAGCATATCAACCTTACAGGGTTACTTAAAGCCAACAAAAATTTTTATTTTTTATATAAATATATATGAATAAAAAATGTATTCTTTGTAATAAAATCAGTTTGTAAATCAAATTTCATTAACACTTTTGCAAAGAGGGCCTCTGTCGAGAGACAATTACATTAATGGTAATATTCTTTTCTTCAATAAAGTATTGTGAGCAATATTTATTCTCTACATATCTGGTTTCCTAGTTGTATTTCTGCAAAGAGGGTTTTCTATTGAGAGTCTGGTTTTGTAGATATATATATATATTTTTTTTATAAAAAGTTTGTTTTATCGTTATTCTGTCCTGTTTTATATTTTCTTGGCCGACCACTTTTAGAAATTATAGTATATCAATCCCCATTTACCTTCTTGAACAGCTCAGTCTATCAGTATTGTAAAATTGCTGTCTTGAGATAACTAGTTCTGGACACTCTGTCAAAATATGTTTAATGGACAATGCGGTTTTACATGCTTGGCACATCAGTTGAATTTCCTTAGTATAAAGGAATGTGTCATTCTCGTTAGGCCGATGTGCAAGTGAGCCATTACAGCCTCCTCTTTTCAAGCCTGCCTTACTTACTTACTACTTATGCCCAGCTTGGGCTGTATTGGATAGAGTTTATTATGTGGATAATCATCCCAGTGCTCTTGACATTTTTAAAAAATATATTTATCTCCTCCTTAAAATTAGTATATGGGACCTTGATCCCTGTATCCACATTGATATCCAAAGCTGATTTTGCTGCCAGGTCTTCTCTACAGTTACCTTTTATTTCAATGTGGCTAGAGATCCAACATATTATATTTCTCTTTTTGTTCATTGTGTTGATTTTATGTAATATTTTAATAATCATTGGATTGTTGGATTTGTTCCTTTCCAAAGCTGATAGGACAGAGAGTAAGTCTGAAAGAATTAGGGAGTTCTTTAGTTTGCTCTCAGTGATGACGTCTAAAGCTAACTCAGTTGCATAAGCCTCTGCAGTGAAAATCGAACTTCCCCTTGGGGAGGTGTTTCTTTTTGGTAATTTTTTGGCACATCCTATTTTCTCCCCACTTTTTGATACGTCCATATATAAGGTTGCATAATCGTGAAAGTTTTCCAGTATTTCCTAGAATTTGTCCAGAAATATGAGAGGGTGGTTTTTTGTTTTTTTTTTTTCTTTCTTTGGAAAATTATGCATTTCAAGAATTATAATTTCCTGAATTTTGGTTTCATTTATTTGGTGGGATCTACATCAAGTAGATGTTAATTGGTCTGTGTAGTGTTACTTTTACAGCAATTGCATGTAAATTTGTCAAGTTCATCTGACTTTGTGGAACATCATTCTTGACTAAGATAGATATACCACCTGACACCCAAAGACAAGTATATATATATTTATATAATTGTATTACTGGTACTCTCTAGTATTCATTTCATTATCCCTCTTAAGAAAAATTTTTAGAAGGCAAATAAACTGCTGGAGTCAGGTCTGTTATCAACAGAAGCAGATCGTTAATGTTTACCTTCACCCAACGGCAGTTCCATTCCATTATTTTATACATACATGTACTCTTTTGTGTTTATGGCTTATTAGTTCTTAATTTGTTTTAGTTTAGAAGTTTTAGCCGCCTGTGGGTTTTGACTCTCAATTTTCATCTCTTCCAACTTATAAAAACAATTTTCAGTAGAGACTTGGCTTAAAGCTTTTATAATTTTAAGAATTGGTTCACATGAACTGGTAGGATGCCACCATTGACTATATCAATGGCTAGTTTCTTCTTGTGTAAATTTATTAACAAAATACATAAACCAAATTGACAAAAATTTAAAAGAATAACTAAACTTACCAATGAAACCTAGAGTAGAAAACTCAAGCACAAGCCATTCTGTGTATTTTTGTTGTTGCGTGAAGGTTTTCATTATTGATAGATAGCCTGGTTTGGATATCACATCATCTTCAAGCTGAAGGAACAAAATTGAAATTATCATTACAGGAAACAATGGCAGACTTAAAAATAGTGGCAAATCTACTATGGAACCAATGAAGGTTCAGGGTCCCTAATCCCAGAGGGGACCCTGAAACAACTTTTTTTAATGAGTGAATTTTTAAACAAAATTGATTTTTTTTTCTTTCAAAAACAGTGAAATCAATAACAGTCTAGATTGAGAAATCCTACAAAAGTAAAATGGACTTCCTAACAGGAATCGAACCTGTATCTCTTTTCCCGCATCAAGCAAACAACTCCTATAGATGAAATGTGCTGTTACCAATTTTGACATGTTATTGATTTAACTGTTTATGAAAATAAAAGACAAGAATATCAACTGAAACATAAACGTTTCAGCTGATATCTCTGTTCTTTATTTTCTAAAAATAACTTTTTCTGCCTTGATAAATTCATGATGGACAATGTGATAAAAATAAAAAAATAAATAAATAAAAATAATAAAAATTTTAAACAAAAAGATAAAAATTTTATATTAAATAAAAATTATCCTGAGGTTAATTTTAAATTTTACTAACAAAGTTGTTGCTGGTCTTCACTTATCTGATTTATACTCAAAAAAAAAAATTATTTCATCTGAAGAACTATTTGAATGTCCCTTCCCAAAACTAGAAAATGCCCAATTATTACTTGATTGCATAGATATTTATATCTTATCTTGGAATGTAACCCAATTATTCCCAATGGTGATCATGTATCTTTCGATACATGACTGACGAGGCAGATATTTTCCCCACAGTAGGTTGCCATTTCTTTCTGCAGTAGACCAGTTGCCATCCAAGCTATAGAACCCAGTCTGTCCTGCTATTTAACCATATCTGGGAGGAGAAGAGGATTCATATCTTTCCCAAGGGTATTAGCACATAAGTGAATGTAATGGATTCAACAAGAACTCACTTGGCTCTCCGATTCCTCAATCCGAGCCGCTATCCATTACTCCACCACTGAATTACCTTTTTTAAAACTCCATATCCCATATTACCCACCAAAATTTCCTATCACCCAACATTTTCCATTCAATTAATTCAGCTCATCATCCAGCCAACCACCAGTGGGCGATATCACCAGGGTGGGAAACCCTGATATAGCACCATAAACATTATTGTTAAAGAAAAAAAATAAAAACTCCTTACCTGAACATAATAGACACCTTTACTCTTTGCATAGAGCATCAAAAATGAGAAGTCCAAATTCTGTTTAGTTCGCCATCTGCAAAGATAATATTAAAAATCTAAAGCAAAATTTTATTTTTGACTTTGTGGTAAAATTACAATGGTAACTTCAATTTTAAGTGATTGGCTTTCAAATAAAACACTTAAAAAAAAAAAAAAAAAAAAAAATTATGAAAAACAAAAATATTCTTTCATAGCATTTTCACTCACTCCAGACAAACCATATTGTTATTTTGTATTCAGGAAGTTTGAATGTAACTAATGTAGTTTGAATTTCTTAGATGAAGCCTTGTTAATTATTATTCATTTTTGACTAGTATTTCTTTCATCTTATTTTTCTTGCTTTTCCACCAAGTAGTAATAGTCTTAAGTTGTCTGAATTACTTAGATGAAGCCTTGGCAATTATTATTCATTTTTGTCTAGTATTTCTTTCATCTTATTTCTCTTGCTTTTCCACCAAGTAGTAATAGTCTTAAGTTGTTTGAATTTCTTAGATGAAGCCTTGTTAATTATTATTCATTTTTGACTAGTATTTCTTTCATCTTATTTCTCTTGCTTTTCCACCAAGTAGTAATAGTCTTAAGTTGTCTGAATTTCTTAGATGAAGCCTTGTTAATTATTATTCATTTTTTGACTAGTATTTCTTTCATCTTATTTCTCTTGCTTTTCCACCAAGTAGTAATAGTCTTAAGTTGTCTGAATTTCTTAGATGAAGCCTTGTTAATTATTATTCATTTTTGACTAGTATTTCTTTCATCTTATTTCTCTTGCTTTTCCACCAAGTAGTAATAGTCTTAAGTTGTCTGAATTTCTTTTCCTTGTTAATTATTATTCATTTTTTGACTAGTATTTCTTTCATCTTATTTCTCTTGCTTTTCCACCAAGTAGTAATAGTCTTAAGTTGTTGAATTTCTTAGATGAAGCCTTGTTAATTATTATTCATTTTTGACTAGTATTTCTTTCATCTTATTTCTCTTGCTTTTCCACCAAGTAGTAATAGTCTTAAGTTGTCTGAATTTCTTAGATGAAGCCTTGTTAATTATTATTCATTTTTGACTAGTATTTCTTTCATCTTATTTCTCTTGCTTTTCCACCAAGTAGTAATAGTCTTAAGTTGTCTGAATTTTTAGATATTTTGTTAATTATTATTCATTTTTTGACTAGTATTTCTTTCATCTTATTTCTCTTGCTTTTCCACCAAGTAGTAAGTCTTGTCTGAATTTGTTAGATGAAGCCTTTTATTCATTTTTGAAGCCTTTTCATAATTTTCTTGCTTTTCCACCAAGTAGTAATTCATTTGTCTGAATTTCTTAGATGAAGCCTTGTTAATTTTTTTCATTTTTGACTTATTTCTTTCATCTTATTTCTCTTGCTTTTCCACCAAGTAGTAATAGTCTTAAGTTGTCTGAATTTCTTAGATGAAGCCTTGTTAATTATTATTCATTTTTGACTAGTATTTCTTTCATCTTATTTCTCTTGCTCTTCCACCAAGTAGTAATAGTCTTAAGTTGTCTGAATTTCTTAGATGAAGCCTTGTTAATTATTATTCATTTTTGTCTAGTATTTCTTTCATCTTATTTCTCTTGCTTTTCCACCAAGTAGTAATAGTCTTAAGTTGTCTGAATTACTTAGATGAAGCCTTGTTAATTATTATTCATTTTTGACTAGTATTTCTTTCATCTTATTTTTCTTGCTTTTCCACCAAGTAATAATAGTCTTAAGTTGTCTGAATTTCTTAGATGAAGAATTTTCAGTTATTATTTTTTCCTTTCAACGTTGATGCTGGTATCAAAATAAATGCAATTAATTTTTGCAAACTCTTGAAGAAATTATTTGTTTTAGTGGAACAAGTCACAACCAAGAAGCTTTAATGGTAATATTAGCCGTTTCCTTATAAGGAAACATTCAGCTAAAGTAACCATGCAAGGGGTAATGTTCTTTTACAGTGTACAAACTTACCCGCCTTACCAAAAAATTTTTCAAAGAGACCAAATTAGTGGAATGACCTCCAGCTTCTCCAGATTTTCAAATAGGAAACGTGGTTCATCACCATTGACAGGGTTATGCACATATCACTCAGTAGAGCCTCTGTTCTAGTGGGGAAATCAAGTGTGGGTGCTTCAAATGAGTTGAATTTTGAGTTGGAAGAGAATTTCCAAGCAAAACATTCAACCTTATCTGCTGTAAATGTCAGGACTTCAAATTGATTGAACAGAAGAGGGGTTGAGGATTTGCTGTAGTTCAGCAAACTCTTGCAAAGCCGTCAATAATCTCTAGAATCGAACTTGCAAGATGCTATGTTTTTCTTTCATTCTATCAGCAAACAGTAACTTTACTTCAATGAGGACATCCTTGCACTCGTTACGAGCAGAGACAAAGAGACATCTGTTGTAATTAGATGTTTGCTCTAGTACAGCCAGAAGAAGTGATTCCTGTGGGCTATAGCAGCTGAGCATTCAGGTGAGATCCAAGGAGATGAATGCAATTTGACTTGGTATTTCCTTGCTGGAATGAAAGCATTGATGCTAGCTTTCACCCAGGCAGAGTCCTCAGACATGCATTTTTGAACAGGATTATTAAACACTTCATTCCAAGGGACATCACAAAGGAAATAACAGAACGAGCCCCAATCTGCTGATTGATAACAAAGATATTCTGTTGGTAAGAGGTTCTTGGCTGGTGGGGGATCGAAAAGAGATGTTTACAGACACTACCACATGATCAGAATTGCGAAAAGGGCCGAGCTGCATAGTACGACACAAGTCAAGAATAGAGGTTTTAAAAAAAAAAAAAAAAAAAAAAAAAAAAGAAAAGATCTAGAAGAGAAGGGTTACTGGAGAAATGTGTGGGGGAGTCCAGCATTTGCGTAAGAGATTGAGTGATTGATGGGTTAAATATCTCGGAAGTGTTTTAACAAGATGGAAAATGTGATGATGAGATCCAAATATGAATTAGACTAGCAAAAGAAGCATTCCAAAAGCTAAGTAAGGTGCTGAGAAATGGAAAAATTCATTAGAAACAAATAAAAGGGTGTTGGATTGCAGTGTGATATCCATTTCCTTATATGGCAGTGAATGCTGAACAATCCCCTCACAGATGAGGAGAAAACTGGAGGCAGTAGAAATGTGGCTCTACAGAAGGATACTGAAAATTCCATGGACAGAATGAGTAAGCAACAAGGAAGTCCTTAAAGAAAATGGCAGCAGAAGGAATACTACTATTAGGTATCCCAAACCAAAATTTTAACTTCAATATATTTTAAAATCTTTAATACAAGCATCTTGATAATATATATGTCTTGATTGCAAATATTTCTTATATCTTACTTAGTATAAAACACAGATTGTGTGTGTGTGTGTTCGTTTATATATGGGATCGTATTTCCTACATTTTTCAAACGATTTCAACAAAACTTCACAGGACTACGTAAAATTCTGACAGCGCCAAAAATTGGAAAAACACAATTGTTTTTGCACGAAATCAATTTGAAAACATGATTAAGAGTCATCGCAAGAATGAAAGGGGGACAACTCATATCAAGTTATACTTATTATAAAACCTAGGTTGTTTGTGTGCGTATGTGTGTGTGTGTTCATTTATATATGGGATCGAATTTCCTACATTTTTCAACCGGTTTCAACAAAACTTCACTTTTTTTTTTGGCTGATAGTGTTTTTTATTGTCTTGCACACTTTTTTCTTTATTTTTACATTCAGAATGATTTAAAAATTCCATTTACAAGACAATTGTTTAAAATAAAATTCTATTCAATCGGTAGACTCATAATGATTGAAAACAATGTTTTTGTTTGAGTTTGGGTTTGATCAATTCATAAAAAAAAAAAACTAATTAAGACATGCGCGTCTGTCAACCGTAAACAATAATCTTTGTCAATTTTATTTTTCAGTCTTTATGATGGTCGATACTTGATCTATCTCGTGCTGTTACATCCCCGGGCAACACCGGACTCTACTGCTAGTATTAAATATAGGTTAAATTTACTTTAAAAACTTTGTTCTTTTTCTTTAAATGATAGAATAAATGAGTTTCAGTTATATTTCTAACTTTTATACACCTACCCCATAATTTTGCCCATGGCTGTATGTTTGTGTCTGTATACACATAAATGTGTACGTTTATACATACACATTATATATATATATATATATATATATATATATATAAATTGATTACTTGAATTATGCCTGTTGTCACTGTTCCCTTCCTCTATCAAACACAAATACGCCTCTTCTTTTTCTTACAATTATCACTCTCCCTCTCTCATATGCACAAATGCATATATACATGCTATCGTACTGTGATGAAATAGGATGGATGGATGTTGGATTTAACGGCATGTCAACTCCTATTTTGATGAAATAGGACCAAGAAATTCTAATCTACTTGTGGCAAAGAGGCCACAATGTATCACCTGCTTGGTTGTAGCCACCATTTGCAATTGAGGTAAAGCATATGTGTGGTTCTAGTGATTTTTAAAACTATCGCTAATTTGTATGTGTGGTCAAAAACCTGAATAAAAGGTAGAAGTAGAAGAAAGAATTAGGGGGGAAAAAAGAATAACGATCAACAGCAAGAAGACAGAAAGTACGGTCATCAGCAAGAAGACAGAAAGTACGGTCATCAGCAAGAAGACAGAAAGTATGGTCATCAGCAAGAAGAAGAAGAATATGGGTTACGAAGTGGAGATATCAAGCTAGCCTCAAACGATGTAAAACTAGAAAAAAAAAACCATTGCTGTCTGAGGTTAATAAGTAAAAAAGACTTTCTTTTCCAAAAGTGCATGAAAATTGGTTGGCTGAGAATTGGACCAAATTTGTCAGATCTAATGAAAACAACTTTAAAGTTTCAATATCTTCAAAACGTTTTACCAGAGGATAAAAAAAATGGCAACAGAAAGAAATCTGATTCTCAGAATCAGGAAAAAGCAACTGAAATGTGTTGGACGCATAATGAGGATAGAAGTCTTGGAAAACACAACCCTCACAGGGCATATTGAGAGCAAAAGATATAGGGATAGGCAGAGAGCCATGTACATGATGAATGGATGGCAGAATAGGGTCCTTAGCAAAGGGAGAAAAAACGTTAAGAGCTATACAGGATAGGAAATTATTGGAAGAGAGAAAAAAAAGGCTATCGTTAAAACTGCAAAAAGACAGAAAGTAAGGTCATCAGCAAGAGAAAAAGCCCAAGATGCGAGTTACAAATTGGAGATATAAGCATCAAGCAGGTGCAGAAGTTTAAATATCTGACAAAAAAAATGCTTTCCAAAATTTAAAGGAAAGAGGGCATAGAAAACTTGATACTCACAGGTCATATTGAAAGGAAGTGAGACAGAAGAAAGAAACATATAACCTACCTAAATTTATTAAGAGCTACAAAGGACAGAAAATTGTGAAGAGTTATGATCGCCCATGTTTCAAAGGGACACGGCACATATAATAATAAGAAGAAAAAGAAAGAAATCATATGTTTGTCGTTGATACTTGGGAGCTATTTGTACTACACAAAGAAAAGATAAAACAACAATATTAATGTAGTAAAGGAAAGAGAAAAAAGGACTATTGATAAAACTGCAAGCAGACAGAAAATATGGTCCTCAACAAGAGAAAAAGACCGAGATGCGAGTTATGAATTGGAGATCTAAACATCAGGACCTCCTAGACAGAGTGATAGAAGAAGAGAAAAAAAGGAATAACCATCAATTGCAACAGAAAGTATCGTCATCAGCATTGGAGGTGCCGAAGCAGGTGCAGAAGTTTAAATATCTGGGAAGTGTCTTACAGAGGTTGGAAAATGCAACACTGAGATCCAAACATACATTTGACTAGCAAAAGAAGCATTCCGAAAGATAAGATGCTGGGAAATGGAAAATTTGTTAAATTCTGAGATGTCTCTCTGGCGTATTTCTTAGGATATTCTTCGAAGTCTGCTTTGTAAATTCTGGTTTCAGGCTTTTATTTTGTGCTAGCTATTGTTTTTGAAATAGTTGTGACAGATTTTATGATAAATTTAGATAAATTCTTTTCAATTGCAGTCAAGTGAATGAAATTGTGTGCTGAGTTTTATCATGATTATGCCATTTTCTTTTTTCTTTCCTGTGAATTTTGTAAGATTTCTTCTTTGTTTTTATATACAAAATAATTTAAATATTAAAAGTATTTTGAACGTATTTCTCTTTGCTGTGTCATGTAAACGGGAATTAAGGAAATGGAAGCAGTTTCAGACACAGAAGTACTGTGTCGGCCATATTGTTTATGTGTGAATAAAAAGCAAGAGTATTGTTTCTGCAGGCAGAAGTCACCAGACTAAACTGCATTGTCGTTGTTATTAAAGACCCCCTTACCAAGTTGTGATACTGTGTTAATACTGATGGCTATAAAATGAGATCATTTTTGTTGGCGGAAGTTGTGATTGTCAGTGTTAGCCACTTACCGAACCCTCTGCTGAGAGTCTCCTAATGTTTCCTTCAGGTGATTAAGGTTTGGGTAAAATTCTGCTGGAGCAGAAATGACTTCAACAAGTCCACTATCAACACTGCTTTTAAATCTGAAACACAGAAAAATAATAGTAAATTAAAATTTCATTTTTAGCATGGTATTTTTATTTAGCATAAGTGGCTAAATCATTTATTTGAAATTTAAACTGTAGTGCTAAATCTTTTCCAGTTTTTTTAGTAAACAAGTTTAGTATCAATTTATAAGTGTTTCTTTTTTGTTGAAAATATCTCCAAAGAAAAACATTCCAGAAACTAAAAGGGTTGAAATAATTGTACTGTTCAAAGAAGGGTTACCCTGAATCAAAATTGCAAGAAAAGTGAAATGCTCAAGAAGTGGTATACAAACAACCATTAAAAGATATAACGAAACCAATTCTTTCAAAAATTGTGATGGCCAAGGCCGGAAAAAGTGTACAAGCTCAAGAGAAGACAGAATGCTAAAAAGGGTATCTCTAGGAGATGCAGGGAAAAAAAAAGTCTTCTAACATGACTGCTGAATTTGAGAGGCAATGAACAAAGCGATATTGATTCGCACAGTGAGAAGAAGGTTAGTAGAAGCTAGCCTCAAACGATGTAAAACTAGAAAAAAAAAACATTGCTGTCTGAGGTTAATAAGTAAAAAAGACTTTCTTTTCCAAAAGTGCATGAAAATTGGTTGGCTGAGAATTGGACCAAATTTGTCCGGTCTGATGAAAACAACTTTGAAGTTCCTTTATTAGTTGAAACTAATTTATTATGCCTATTAATACTATATTTTTATTGAATAGAAAATTATCTCTAAAATTTTTATTTTATCAGATTTTTGGAACCCCCTGGAGTTGTTTGTGTTTGTCGAAAAGTTGGGGAAGCATATAATGTTCAATGTATTGCCCCAACTGTAAAATTTGTGATGGTTTTGTAATTGTCAGGTCGATGCAAAATTTCCTGGCATCATTGTTATCTGAACAATGTTAGAGAAATCTTAAAAGTATATGTATGTATATAAAATTAAGAAATCAGCTGATTCCGCTACTTTGGTTTCAACCTTTCAGTATCTTCTGGCAATTTTGGTCAATTTACTGTATGTAGTGTAATTTGCCCCAAGTCACAACCAGACTATCAAAAATTAATAATAGGATAATGGTAGAATAATATAATTGTTCAGTATTTACATTAGTCGGACTATTGTCCTCATCTTTGTCGCCATATTTGTCACAACGTTTCGGCCGTTGTACGCTCCGGCCTTCTTCAGGTGGTTGGAATTTCGAACTGAACCCTTTATTTCGATCGCTGGGGTAGACTGTTCTAATTCCACGTGCCATGTTTTGATGGATGTCAGTTATCAGTTATCTCCTGCTAATTTTTCCCTCTGAAAGTTCTCCACTGCCTTAACCAGGAATTGAACTCACCTTCTTTGAGTCTGTCACTGGATCTAACCAACGCCTTTATCCACTGTGCCATGTGTCCTTGAGGTATGAACTTCTGAGTATTATAAACCTAATGTCAGAGCATCATTTTACCAGTGCTCATATTGCAATTTTTTGCTGTTATCATTGCATGTCTTTACCAGAGTTCATATTGCAACTTTGTAATCATTGCTTTTTCTCTGGCACTCCTTATTACTGGTTCCAACCACCTGAAGAAGCGTACAACGGCCGAAACGTTGTGACAAATATGGCGACAAAGATGAGGACAATAGTCAGACTAATGTAAATACTGTACATAATACCTCATCTCAGAAATATAGACAAATATAATTGTTGTCGTTGTTTAGAAAGAAATCTACACAAAGCATGAAAAGTACCCATGAGTATGATTTTCTGCAGTTCACATATTTTAAGGCTGCCAGCAATTTGATCCATATATATGTTTACCCCCATTTGATATAATTCTCAAAGCCTCAATAAAAGGTGGGGTTGTTGTGTTGAGGTGCCACATTCTACTGCTTTATATCTGGAGGTCCTTCCTTGTATATGCTTAGTTTCTCAAATGCTATTACTATTATTAATAAATAAATAAAATGTTTCAGTCAATTATGTGCCATACGTGATACACGCTTAGGCGATCACGTATTGAAAGATACATGACTAACAAGGCAGATTTTATTCCCACAGTAGGTTGCCATTTCTTTCTATGGTAGACCAGTTGCCATTCAAAGCTATAGAACCCGATCTGTCTTGCTATCTACCCATAGCTGGGGGGAGAAGAGGAGGATTCATACCTTTTCCAAGTGTATTAGTACGTAATGGATTTGACTGGAATTCAAACTGGCTCTCTGATTCATCAATCCTAGTCGCTATCCATTCAGTCTGTTATGTGCCGTGTGTGATACACGCTGAGGCGATCATGTATCAAAAGATACATGACTGAAGAGGCAGATTTTTTTTCCTGCAGTAGGTTGCCATTTCTTTCTGCAGTAGACCAGTTGCCATCGAAGGCTTTAGAACCTGGTCTGTCCTGCTATTTACCCATATTTGAGAGGAGAAGAAGGGGACTAATACATTTCCCAAGGGTATTAGCATGTAAGTGAATGTAATGGATTTGACTGGAATTCAAACTGGCTCTCCAATTCCTCAATCCGAGCCACTATCCACTACTCCACTGTGCCTCCCTATAAAATGTTTACTTATCTTTATTCTGAGTTTTGCAGATTCTGAAATCCAGTCCTCAGGAGAACAAAAGCATTTGTAATTTATTTTCATATATTTTTCTTAAAATGAAAATAAATCTAAGATACTTTTGACTCCTGTAAGATTTGAAGAATCAGTGAAATTTTCAGTAGAGATAAGTAAACATTTTATTTATTGACATTATTATCCTTATTATAAGTCTGCTGGTCCCTCACTTTGTTCGTTAGTTCCTTAGTCCACATGACTTATGCCTTGCCAAGACCTCATAAATAATAGACTATTCTGTTTTGACCGTGTGAAAAGATGAAAATAACATATCAGAGATGCTACTTGGTTTCAGTAAGAAAGAAAGAAAGGGAAGATAAAAGTATTTAATATCAGTTTCAGTGAAAAGGAGGACCCCCCCCCAAAAAAAAAACTGTCAATTTCAAATCTTTTCCTTTGTATCCTGTTACTTCTTAAAACAAGCATTTATGTTTTTGATTGTTATTGCAATATTTTGTTAGTTGTTAAGCTCAAATATTTAATGATGTGATAGGGGAATTTCTATGAATATTTTATTGTCCAAGAGCTTGCCATGAGTTTAACTTAAGAATTAAGATTCATCAGGATATTAAAATAGGAAAACTGTGAAATTTTCACTGGTCTTTCTAGTAATTAATCATTATTATTGTTGTAATTTTTTGCCTTTGCTTTGTGAACTGTACGCCCCCCCCCAAGTCTCAACTTCCCAAAAAGATTTTTTTTTTAATCAAAATATGCAAACAGATAAGGTGCCATGCAATCAAGGAATAAAAAAAATATGTAATTTTGGTCATTGCATGGAAAGAAATCTATGAAAGATTTGAGAAGTACGAGGGTTTTTGATTTTTCACAGTTCATTTTTTTTTACTTTCAGGAATCTTACTTATTATAAAAAAATTTTCATTGTGTGTGTGTGTGTGTGTGTGTGTGTACGTTTATATATTGGATCGGATTTCCTACATTTTTCAAACCGATTTCAATATTTTTTCACAGGACTAATTAAAATTACCTTTGGTGGTGGTTGACAAGCGCAAAAAATTGGAAAAACAATTGTTTTGGCACAAAATCAATTTGATTTTGAAAAAAAAACACGATTCTGTCACCAGAATGAAGGGGGGACAACTCATATCGAGTTATACTTTTTATAAAATCCAAGTTGTGTGTGTGTGTGTATGTTCGTTTATATATGTGATCGGATTTCCTACATTTTTCAACCAATTTCAACAAAACAACAATTTTTTTTGGCAGGTAGTATTTTTTATTGTCTTTAAACTTTTTTTTTTTTTTTTACATTCAGAATGCTTTAAAAATTCCATTTTACAAGACAATTGTTTATAATAAAATTCTATTCAATCGGTAGACTCATAAGTTCATTGATTAAAAACAACGTTTTTTGTTTGAGGTTTTTTTGACCAATTTGTAAAAAAAAAAAAAAAAAAAAAAAAAAAAATTTTTAATAATTTGTCCGTCAACCTTAAACAATAATCTTTTGTCAATTTTATTTTTTTCAGTTTTTATGATGGTCGATACTTGATCTATCTCTTACTGTTACATCCCCAGGCAATGCTGGGCTCTAGTTTCTAGTTTTTTATATTTTAAATGAGATGAGATATTGTTATTTACACTATTTTATATTGTTCAGATTGTTGAATTTCATCTTTATTGTCATATTCATAATGTTTTTAATTGTACAAAAAAAAAAAAGAAAGAAAAAGAAAGAGAAAAAAAGCGAGAGAAGGAGAAAGAAAGCGAGAAAAAATAAAGAGAGAAAAATAAAAAGAGAGAGAGAGAGAGAAAATAGAGAGAAAATAAGAAAAAAAGAAAATAAGAAAGAAAGAAAAATATTACTAGACATTTTTACCTACTTTTTCTGAAGAAGAAACTTTCAGTGGAAGAGAAAAATGACAAAGTGAAAAAAAAAAGTGGTTGTTTTTACAAAAAAAAAAGACAGTGGTTGATGTGTCAAGAGCCAGCAGTTGGCCATGGAATACCAAGAGAAAAACTGAAAATTAAGAGACTAAAAGAGACAGATTGTAACTTTGTACATTTGCAGGTTCCAGCAATTTATAGTAAATAATCCCCCATTTTAAACTCCACCAGACAAAAAAAAAAAATTTTTTTTGATTCAATACAAACGAATCAAATTGCTTTATGTTTTTTGATTGATACAGAATTTTAAAAAAATGCTTTTTTATTAAATCCCAGAAGCATTTTTTTTAAATCTCTCCAAAGCAAATATATACTGCAAAATATTTAAGTAATTTTAACAATGTAAAATATTGTTGAAAAATAGTAGACTTACTCTTTATATATTTGCTCACCCACACTTTCAACATATTTGAGATTCCAGATTTTTAAAAAAAAAAAAAGAAAAGGTTAAGATTCAGAAATATCTAAGAAGAAGCAAAAGCAGAAAATACATTTGGAAATTAAATACAAGTTGTATGGGCAGAGGATGTAAAAACCATAATTTGGTTAAATATAGAACCAGGAGTTTCTGACAATTCCTGCAAGTGAAGAGATGAGATTTCATTACTCAATATTCTTATAAAGTATGTGTGTATGTGCAGATGCATGAAAAAGGGTTGAAAAGTTCTCAGCTTGACAACATTTCTCAAAATTTCACCAAATATCAGACTTTAATTTTTAAAAGGTTCTTTTTTTGGTTGGGATAAAAAATATGTTGTGTGTGTTGTAAATATTGTGTCGAAATATGTGTGTACATTATATATATATATATATATATATATATATATATATATATATATATATATATAAAAAAAATATAAAAAAAACAAACAAAAATTTTAATATGCAATTATGCTGTTTTAATGTTAATATAATGTCAACGTCGGATGTTTCGGTCTAATAGACCATCTTCAGGACATATTCATAAAACATAATTAACATTCGACTATATTTAATTCAACATGAAAAGACGATGGACATAAGAGTAAGACTAATCAAAACACATATATATATATATATATATATATATATATATATATATATATACAACACACACACACACACATATATATATATATTTAATTAAGACATTTTTATGTTTAGACATTCTTTTTATAGATACAAATATTTAAGTAAATGCTCTGTTTATAATAAACAATATTAAACAACATTTACCAGCCTGAATGTCCGAGAAATTTTCATAGAAAATATTTGTCATTTGTTTGCATTTGGATATGCCATGAGCAGATATGAATGTACGTGAGAGAATCATGGAAGATTGAAATTTAAAGGCAGTAAATTCGACTTTGCTAACCGAACGCTTCTCTGTGACCCAATCAGTTAAGAGCAGATCAGGCTAAATGACGGTTCTATATAGGATACAGGTTTGAATCCTGTCAGAGAACGAATATTTTTTATGAAAATTTCTTGGATATTCAGGCCGGTAAATTTGCTTTAATACATGTTTATTAAAAACAAGCATTTATTTAAATATTTGTATCTCTAAAAAATGTGCAAAATATAAAAATGTATTAAAATAATAAATGGACTTTGTCCATTTATATATATAAAGCCAAATTGTGTTTAAAATAAATGTATTTCGGCAAATTCTTTTTATACAAGTTTCATGAAAATATGACTGACAAAATATATATGTTAATTTTTTTTACTTTTTTTTTCTTGTGTTTGTATAATTTTCTTATCTGGACATAAATTCTGTAGGAATTGTCCAAATGTTCTGTATGTCTGAGCCTCTTTTAGCTATACTTTTAACCATTATCAAGGATGATTTTATTTTTACTTTTTAACTAACTGTATGGATTATCTTATGTATGTATCTAGAGTCATAAGAATGTTTGATTTTCCAAACATGGCCAGCACATTGTGGCTGTGTTCATAGTTGATGTTATTGAGGGTTGGCCTTTTCTTTTTTTTAATAATAATACTTCCATTATTTTTAGCGTTTTTTATATGTGGATGAGGCTATTATATTTGTATTATCAACAAGTATGTTGCGGATAGAGTTTTGTAGGTCGTCATGTGTATTCAAATGAGAACTAATTGAGCTATGGTCAGAAAGATGTAACGTGAGTTTTCTTGTTATGCATGCTGTAGTATATCCAATATAATTATTTAGGATGTTGGTTTGATTAGAAACACAGTTCCTTAAGCGACATGTGAATTGGTAGATAATAGTGGCTTTCTGTAATTTGGATCTTGCAGGTGATTTATTGTTGTTGATGATCAGGTTTATAGTTTTATATTATATATATATATGAGAATGAATAGAGTACAATTCCAATGTTAGTAACATTTAATTTAAAAGGGAGATCAATAGAAAAATACCAATGTTATTATTTATTTTAGGATAAAAAATTTAAAATATTTCAAAATTACTATATATATATATATATATATATATATATATATTATAATACATACAATATTATTTTTATATATATATATATATATATATAGTCCACCAATCGTATATATATATATATAAAACACATATATATATTATATATATATATATATATATATATATATATATATATATAATTATATATATATATATATATTATAATATATATATATATATATATATAAATGTTATATATATATATATTTAAATATTTAATATATATATATATATATATTATATATATATATATATATTTAAAAATATATATATATATATATATATATATATATTTATATATATATATATATATATATATATATATTTATATATATATATATATATATTTATGCAATATATATATATATATATTGATATATATATATGATATATATATATATTATACAAACAAAATATATATATATATTTATATATATATATATATATCAATATATATATAATATATATATATATAACTTTTTAAATATATATATATATATATATATATATATATTTATATATATATATATATATATATATATATATATATATATATATACTTATTATATATATATATATATATATTTATATTAAAAAACAGTATATCCAGTCTTTGACTGGGTCTTTTCATTACTGGGACTATTTGCTGTTCAATTGGATTTTTATTTTTTAAAGGCAGCCCACCCTAAATCAATATTAGTGACAACAACTGGGTGCAACTGAGGCACATCCCCAAATTGAGGTGGGGTAACAATTTGAATGGGGAGTGGCACTGAGTTCTCAATCTTGTTTCAGCCTCATGTGCAGCAGCAGCAGTTGAATAGGCGTTTCTCCTCTGCCGTTGAGTCCTTTGATCATCATTTTCAGCCTCACATGCAGAAGCGTTCAGGTATGCTTTTCTGGAAAGCCAATGGCTACGTTGATCTTCGGATGCAATCGCTTTGATTGAAGCATTCCGAGAGGCATTTTGAGACAGGCAAACTGAACCTTCTACACACAATTCATTATCTCTTATTCCATGACAGTCTTGATAGCAGCAGTTTTGCGACCTAGGCAAGTTCTTTTCTTTGGTGGCATGTCTTGGGCAAGTAAGAATTCTCAAATGGAATGCATGGGCAAATACCAGAAGAGAATGCTGTAAAGCTACAGGGATCACTAAGCTCGGATAAGTTTAGGAAAGGTTAGAAAAATAAGGGTTGAGTAATAAAAAAAGCAAGCTTACTTATTACTTATGGTTAATGCAATGCAAAAACTGGGCAGACAATAAAAAATATTAAATTGGGAATGTCTATAAATGACAATGAAAGCAACGCCTTAAAACTGTAGTAGTAGGCGTTATGCAATGGAAAAGGTAACCTCACTTGAGAGAGAGATTGATCACTTGGCCAAGAGATGGGGAATGTGTATTATAATTTGGACTCAAAATCAACACTGAAGAAGTATCTATCAAACAAAAAAAAATTTCAACGAAATCGGACGAAAAATGTGGAAACACATAAACAAATTACAGAAACACATTAAAGAATTTTATATATATGTATTTATATATTATATATATATATATTTATATATATATATATATATATATATATATATATATATATATATATATATATATATATATTGTGTGTGTGTATATATTATATATGTATATATATATATATATATATAAATTACAATGGATCACTCATAAAAGAAATGGCAAAATCCCTTCGCTAACTAAATTTTAAATTTAGTTAAAGAAATTTTCCAATTTTATATCATTAACTTTACTATTTTACATTTTGTATGAATGATTCATTGTAATATAAATTAAACTGCACCATATATTTGATTTAAAACAACTGATCTGACATGCAAATTTTTGAGATAACAACTGAGACATTACTCTACTTATTGAACAATTTAGTTCATGCCACATTGACTGATAAACTCCTACAACAAAAAAAATTCTTAAATTGCTATATTAGTAAAAAACGCATTCACTTAAATTTTCAAAAAAAATTCAACCTTAGTAATATATATATATATATAGGATTAAGCTAAATAAAATTTATCCCTAAACTGGCTGATATTATATTCCAAACTTTTTCAGTCCACCCATCAGGAGGTTTCAGCAATTGACTGTCATTTTTCTAATTTTTCATTATTTTTATCCTAAATTTAATGTAATTAATTCATGCACTAATTGGAATGCTCTTGCTATTGGTGTTAGGTTGATTTTTTTTACTCTATTTTGTGTGTGTGTGTGTGCATAAATGTGTGTGTACATGTCAAATATTGTGATTACTTCTCCTTTTCATCACTTTCTTATCTCTCTCTCTCTCTCTCTCTCTCTCTCTCTCTCTATTACTTTTCCTTCTTTTATTCTCTTGGCTCTTGGAAAACTACATGAATAAATCAAAGTCTAATGAAAAAAAATGTGTTCATTTTACACAAATAATTTTTTTAATGTAATCATCTTCCTTATCGATACACTTAATGGTGAATACTAATCAGGAACATCGAACATTATACAGTAAGAATTTGAGAAAAATTCAGCTAATAACTGCGTCAAGCTGTGAACTTTCTGATTCAACTGTTTCTATGTACTTACAAGATATGAAATGTATGCGTGTGATCCATAATTCAAAATGCAAACTTTCTTAAAAGTAAAAGAGTAAATAAAATATTAAAAAAAAAAAACAAAACAAGAAATGTTATTTAGTACTGACTCATCAGCAATCTCAGCCCGCATCAATTAATAATTGGAAAACAAACTGCTCCTTATTTTCTTTAACAACCAAAGTAACCAAATTTGGGATTTAGAGTTGACCTATTTATAAAAAGAAAAAAGAAATCCTCCTCCTAATACTACTACTACTACAAGAAGAAGACATAATGTAACATGAAAATAGTAAAAATCTTTATTTTGTACCAAAAGAAGCTCATAAATA